CCAGAAGTGGAATCACTGGATCAAACAGTAACTCTATGTTTAACTTTTTAAGAAACCATCAAACTATTTTCCATAGCAGCTGTACTAGTTTACATTCCCAACAACAATATACAAGGGTTCCAATTTCTCCACATCCACCCTGACCCTTGTTTTTTTGTTTTTTATAATAGCCACCCTAATGGGTGTGAAGTGATATCTCAGTGTAGTTTTGATTTGCATTTCCCTAATGATTAGTGATGTAAAGCAGCTTTTCATGTGTTTATTGGCATTTGTTCCATTTATTTTTAAAAGATGGAAAGCAGATGGAGGAATGGTAATTATCTTAGCAGAGCATGAGGGGTTGCAGATGAGAAGCAGACTGATTTGTCCCCACAAAAGCTCTGAAAGATTCAGGCCATGATGGAGAAATGGACCAGGATAAGGATCAGGGCTGAAAACATCCTCTACCCCAAGAGCCAAGCGGCTTACTCCTCACTCAGGAAGGAGAGGGGAGGCTGAATCCCTGAGGAACCAGAACTGGTGAGACCCTAGTTTCCAGTACAATTGTCACAGTAGCCAGTAGGAGTGATGGAAGGTCTGGAAATGGAAAGACTCAAGAATGCATCCTTCCCTGACTCTGCTCCCAAAATGTAGGCAATGCATGTTACTTCTAGGCATAAGATGAGAGGATGCTTCTCATAAGAAACTGAACTTCCCCAGGGGAAGAAAACTATAGATAGTGACATTTGGGCTTCCCCTAACAAAACAGCAAGATCCCCACCAGAAAAGCAACAGTGAATGCCCCTATCTGATAAGCTATACACACAGGACTTCTGATTAGGTTTTGTGCATTACCCTAAAATGTGAAGTAAAAACTGAAGGTCATCAGACCTTTGAGGAAAACTTCCATCATGGAAGACAAGAAAAACCAAAAAAATAAAAAACTGAAACAGGAAGAAATAGATGATGCCAAGAAGAGAAGAAAACTCCAAATAAAAATAAAATTAATATCCCCCAGAGAGTTAAGAGAAGACATTGCATCTATCAGTTAAAGAAATGAACAAAAAATCAATCTGGACAGATCTGGTCAGGGTGGCAGAGTAGGTAAATTCTGTGCTTACCTCCTCTCAAGACCATATCAAAATTATAACTAAATTACAAAACAATCATCATTGAAAAATCCTGAAGTCCTACAACTAAGGACATACAGAAGAAGCCACCTCAAGACTGGTAAGAGGGGACAGAGACCGGGAATGGGCTGGTCACACACCTGTGTGTAACCAAAATCAAGTGGGATAACTTGGCTATGGCGGTCCCCCATGGAGGAGCAAGGGGTCCCAGACCCAGACCAGGCTACCCAGCCCTGAGTCTCAGTGCCAGGGAGAGAAGTCCCCATATTTTCTGGCTGTGAAAACCAGCGACAATTGTGGCTGAGTGAGACAGAGGGCAGCTGGAGTCCCAGGTGATTCTCTTAAAGGGCCCATGCATGGATTTACTCACTGCCAGACTCACTCCCTCTGAGCTCCAGAGCTGGGGCAGCAGCTCCAAGGCACCAGGGACAGACGAGGAGGAACTGAGTTGTCTGCTTCAGGGTGAGGGCTGGAGGGGCAGCTTTCTCACACACAGAAGGGCTGGCAGAAGCCATTGGCAGAACAAGGAACTAGAACAACACAGGGGACTGAGGCAACAGGGGTTCATAAACATAAAAGAGAAGCAAAGAGAACTCCCAAAATAACGACTAGGTGAAAGAACCCAGGGAAAACCTGTTTCTACTGGAGCAGGAGGGCTTCAAGGACAAATGCTCACACAGAGTACTATTTGGAAATGCTGAAAAAGACTGCATGAAAAAGTTAGACGACCTGAACTTTTCGCCAACAATTCATGGCTCTTGAATCACGACAATGCACCAGCTCACACGGCACTGTCTGTGAGGGAGTTTTTAGTCAGTAAACAAATAACTGTATTAGAACACCCTCTCTACACACCTGATCTGGCCCCCAATGACTTCTTTCTTTACCCAAAAATAAAGGAAATATTGAAAGGAAGACATTTTGATGCCATTCAGGACATCAGGGTAATACAACAACAGCTTTGATGGCCATTCCAGAAAAAAGTTCCAAAATTGCTTTGAAGGGTGGACTAGGCGCTGGCGTCGGTGCATAGCTTCCCAAGGGGAGTTCTTCGAAGGTGACCGTAGTGATATTCAGCAATGAGGTATGTAGTACTTTTTCTAGGATGAGTTCGCGAACTTAATTGTTCTAATGTGTGTGTATATATATATATATATATATATATATATATATATAGATAGAGAGAGAGAGAGAGAGAGAGAGAGAGAGAGAGAGAGAGTCACAGGATGTGAATACAGCATAGGGAATATAGTCAATGGCATTGTAACAGCTATATACAATGTCAGAGGGGTAGTGGATTGGGGGGGTTATTGCTTTGTGAGGGGTGTAAATGTCTAACTAATATGTTGCTTTGTACACCTGAAACTAATCTAAAAAAAAGAACTGAAGACAATTTTTGGTAATAAGAAGTAGATAATAGCAGGAGCCTGAAGTCAAACTCAGATCAAATTCTGACTTCCCACCCATTAACCTACATGAGCATAAGCTAATTAGTTGATTCTATGGGCCGAATTGTGTCCCCTCAAAATTTGTATGTTGCAGCTCTAATCCTCAGCACCTCAGAACGTGATTATATTTGGAGACGGAGTCCTTAAAGAGGTCATTAAGGTAAAATGAGGCCATATGGGGGGGGGCCCTAACCCAACATAAAGGTGCCCTTCCTTATAAGAAGAGATTAGGCCCCAGATACACACAGAGGAACAACCATGTGAAGAGAGGGAGAAGACAGCCAGCTGCATGCCAAAAAGGGAGGCCTCAACCCTGCCAACACCTTATCTTGGACTTCTAGCCTCCAGAACTGTGAGGAAATAAATGTCTGTTGTTTAAGGCTCCCAGCTTGTGGCACTTTGTTTTGGCAGCCCCAAGAAACTAATACATTTGATCTCAGTTTTCTGAAAGGTAAAATAGGAATATATATATACCTCGTGAGATCATTGTGAGGATTAAATTGTGTGGAAAAGTACTTATTACAGTGCTTGGCACATAGTATGTGCTCAATAAAGGTAGGTTAGTCCGATTATTGTGTTATGCTATTAAAACACAATTCCTCTGGTCGTTCCACAGTGACCATAGAGAGAAGTTCAGTGACCACTTAACCAAAATTATCAAAGCTATTACGATGACTTCACAATTCATCTTCAAGTCCTTAGTCTTGCCCTCTTCAATCCACTCCCACAATGCTGCCAGAACATTCTTTCTGGAATAAAAATCTGGCTGGGATATCTAGTATCCAAGGATGGCTTCAGACGGTTCCACGTGCCACCCCTCCCACCAGAGATGCCCCCTCCCTGTGAATCTGGGCTGTGCTTACTGCTACTCTGACCAGTGCAGTATAGAGGAAATGACATGCTGGGGCTTCCAAGTCCAGGAATTAGGAGGCCTGGTAACTTCCGGGCCACCACGAAGAGCAGGCTACTCTGCTAGAGAAAGCGGTCATGGGGAAAGGCCCAGAAGCCACATGAAAAAACACCAAGGTGCTAGACAGCCAGCCCCAAGCCACAGCCCCAGCCACCCCCTCACTGCTACTGCATGAGAGACCCCAAGCCAGACCACCCACCTGAGCCCAGCCAACCCATGGAATCATAAGATATAATAAAACTATGTTTGTTTAGCTGGTAAGTTTGGGGCGGTTTGTTACGCAGCAAAAGATACCTGACACTGACCATGGATCTCCATAACCAAATGTCCATAACCTTCATGAGTTGTGTGACTTGGGCAAGTTACCTAATTTCTCTGTGCACCATTCTTCCCAGCTGTAAGATAATAATAGTACTTTCTTCAAAGGATTGCTGTGCAGGTTACGAAATAATATATGTAAGACACTTGGAAAAGTATCTGATGTCTAGTAAATGCTCAATATGTTAACCATCATCATCCTCACCCTGCCTCTAGCCTCCTCCCCAGCCACTCCCCATGTGCATTCTGGGGTACCAGCATACTAAAATACTTTTTTCCCCAACATGTCACACTTCAAAACTCTTTACCTTTGTACATTCCATTCCTCCTGCCTGGAATGTCCTTCACACACCTTGTCTGCCTGGAAAATTGCCATGTCCTTCTGTGAAGCTTTCTTAGATCTCCCCGGTCAGTGCAGTGTCTGCCTGTGCTCCCAAGAGCAGATAGTTCTTATCTCCGTGGAGGGACTTCCCATACATTGCTGCCTGTGTGGCCCTGTCTGTCTTCCCAGCTAGACTCAGTCCTTTAAGGACAGAGCCCGTGCTTGCTTGATTCACGTGCCAACAGAGCACAGCTCATAGCAAGCTCTTAATACATGTTTCTAGAAGGGAAGAAGCCTGCTTTTAGAGCACTGGTTCTCAACAGGCATGGGGAACAGGGAGAGGAGCAATTTTGTCCTCCAGGAGACATTTGGCAATGCCTGGGGACATTTTTGGTTGTCACACAATGGGGGAAGTGCTACTGGCATCTAGTGGGTAGAGGCCAAAGGTGCTGCTAAACATGGAACAATGCACAGGACAGCTTCCACAGCAAGGAATTATCCAGCCCCAAATGCCAGTAGTGCTGAGGCCGAGAAACTGTTTCAGAGCATCATCACATACACTGTCAGCAGAGGGCCAACGACTGGATGCACCCATGCTCAGTAGCCTGAATGTAGAGCTCCCCTCCGCGCCCCCGCTCAGCCCTCTTCTCAGCACTTCCAGATGCTGAGAGTACCAGGAAGGGTACTGAGGACGAGTAAGGGATTAAACTGGTCACCTTACTTCCTGCTCAATGTGATCCTGATCATGACTCTTCCCTCATTGGGTTCCTATTTTCCACATCCTATGGTCCCTCCCAGCCCTGACTGACATTCTATGACTCTGCAATGACAGATTGCTGCCTGCTGTTTCTTTCTTGGCTAAAAGGTGTCAATGCTGCACAGGCCTTCTCAAGTGCCAAGAGAGGAAAAATCCCAGATAGGCTGGCCTGAATCACTGAGAGTTTCTGTAACATCCTGGACCGCTCAGAACTCAGGTGAACTGAGGAGACACCAGCACCCCGCTTGCCCAGGTAGGAGGCCTGCAGATTGCAGAAGAAACAGGGTGGGGGAAGGTGGCCCGAGAAGCCTGCCTGGCTAACTCAGCTCTAACCTGAAGAGGCCTCTTTGTTGTCGGTCAAAGCATGTTGTGTCTCTTTGCTGGGAAGCAGGGAGGCATCTGTGAAATCTGTTCCTTTGTCCCCCATGATAAGAGTTGTAGGAAACCTCACCTTACAGAAGGATTGCTTCTGTGAGAGAGGTCTTACAGAGGTGTGGGGAGCATAGCTGGTATGAGGGGGTGGAGGGGGTGTTTTGTTTTAGTTGTTTTTATTTGACTTCAAGAGGAGGTCAGACTGGTCAGTAATAAAAGCCTCATCAGACAAGACAGTCTGTCACTTACTACGTGATCGGGGTAAACAACCCAGGCTTGTCTGAGCCTCAACCCTGAGATGCAAACAGTAATAGTATCTATATCATAAGATTGCTCTGTGGATTAAATCAGATAATGAAATCCTAGGTTTAGCATGCTGCATAGCATAACTACAAGTAGGTGGCAGTTATTATCATGAAAGGATGTGATGGGATGAGTGAACAGATGAAGAATATGATGAATCATACTGAAATTCTCACATAAGTGCCTATATCCAGGTAGGATGCTCATGAGTTATAATACTGAGAGCTAACATTTTTATAGTTTTTTTCCTGTGTTTACAACTGTTCCAAGTACTTTACATATATTAACTCAATCCTCACAAAGACCCTGTGTGATAGGTACTTTATTATTCCCATGTTTTACATGGGAAAATGAGACACAGAGATTCGCTAATTGCCCAAGGCACGCTGCTGGTAAGGGAAGGACAAGGGTTTGGCTCCAGGACTCCTGCCCTTGGCAGTATACACACTGCCCCTGAATGACTCAAGAAGGGTAAGAAATGGGATGGGGAGTGGCCTCCCCCAACCTGCCTTGGCCCTCCGCCCTGCTCCCAAACACCTCTCCACCCCCTTATAGCAGAGAGTTACAACTGCCCAGCAGGAAAGCACCTAGCTCTGCCACGAAGGGTCCAGAAGTGGCTGTGGGGAGTGGGCAAAGGCTGCCCCATGGAGGTAGGGAGCAAATGAGATTCAGAATTGGGCAAACTGGGACTCCACCCCAGCACCACCTCGTGACCATGGGTGACTTTCCCAATAAGACAACAGTCTAGGACCTAGACACGCTCAAAATCCCTGCAAGTTCTAGAATGCTAGGTTCTCCTCGGGAGAAAAGGCCAATCAGCTGCTGAGGCCTTGGTCAGACCGCATCCCAGGGAAAGAGCGCCACCTAGCGAGCTATTCCAAGAATGTCCCAGAGCATTGGGGTGGGGCTCGGACCTGAGTGCTGCGGGGTTCCTACTGCTCTCCCCTTACTTAGCTGTGCCATCCCTGGCAAGGTGCTTCAATTCTCTGAATCTCAGAATTCTAATCAGTAAAGTGACACCAAAAAACTAGCAACGATGATAATATAATAACTAACATTTTTCCCGTCACATTTTTTCACCACTTTACTTTGAAACAGTAATGTAATGGGTTGTAAACCAATGTTAATGACAAATCATAGAAGTGATACGCTATTTGTTCTGAGCACTCTGATAAGTTCTGTAACATTGACTCTATTTTTTCTTTATATATTTTTTTTCCCGTCATGTTTTTTTGTTTTGTTTTGATTTTGGTTTGGGGGCATTTTTTTAAATTGTGGTAAGAACGCTTAACATGAGATCTGCTCTCTGAGCAGGTTTTTAAGTGTACAATACAGTATTGTTAACTATATGGCACCGTGTTGTACAGCAGAGCGCTAGAATTTATTCATCTTGCACAACTGAAACTTTATGCCCATTGATTTAACTAACACTTTTCAAGTGTTTATTAAATGATAGGCTGTGTTCTAGTATTATATATATTAACCTATTTAATCCTCCAAATAACCATGTGAGAGAGGTACAAAAAGACTGCACAGCCCTCTACATTAATCTACAAGAGAGTGTACCAATTAGAAGTCTACAATAATGACATTAGTAAGGTGATTTGCATTTGATAAACATGACCCCATTAAATCCACACAACGACCCCTGAGATCGATGCTGTTATCCTCATTTTACAGTAGGGAGACGGAAGACCACTCAGTCAGCACATACTTGCCTGTGTGTGCCCAGCCCTGGGGGTGCATGCGAGCGGGGCGCTCAGGCTCCATATTCTCTTAGAGTCCTCTATCTGGCAATAAAAAGAGACACAGGGAGTGCCCATGGGATGACTATGCGCTGTGGAAAAACCTGGGGGCCATAGGTGCTTCACTCAGTCTGGGAGGGGAGAAATGTCAAAAATGATTACTAAGCCCAGGGTCACATGCTCCCAAGCTTCGTGTATCTGCCTCTTTCTAGGACACAACGCACTATTTACAGACCTGTGTGTCCACCCCCAGCTTCTGCATTAGCATCTGAACTCCTTAAGAATGGCACCCGTGTCTTAATCACCAGCAGAGAGGCTGGCATACAGTGGTTGCTCACAAATACTGTCTGTCCAGTGAAAGCCCCACCACCACACCTTCCATGGCCAAATGCTCTCCCTCCTCTGTTTCCTCAGACCTTCCTCCACTTCCCAATAATCCACAGAAATCAGGACAGTTGCTCCTTAGCCGAGGCCCCAGCCATAATTCACCAATCCAGAGAAGTTACCCAGAGAAGTTACACTAATGTTAAGCATTCCAAGTATAAAAGAATCAAAATGCTGTGCGGGGAAGGAAGGGAGAGGAACAAGTTTCAGACACTTACTTTGTGTTGAGCATTCTACTTAATTATCTTAAATCTCACAACCCTGGAAGGTAGGTAGTAGGTGGCAGGGCTGGGATTTGAACTCAGGCACTCTGGCTCCACACTCTTGTACCGTGTTCCCCATGTTCTGCTGCCCCCGCTCTTTCCTTCAAGCTTCAGCGAGTAGCCAGTGCTATCGACAGCAAGAGGCATGGCTCAAGGCCTGCCATTCAGGCTTCTTGCCCTCCACACTCAGACTTTCCTAGAAGAGTCTTCTAGATTCTTCTGGAAGCTCCATGCTCACTCCCTTACAGCCACAAAGCGTCTTTCAAGGGTTTCCCATTTCTAGTGTCTAGCCCCTTGTTCTTGAAGAAACTCTTAAGGATGCAGGGGTTCAAGTGCAGTCCACTTGGTTGAACAAACTAATGAAACTGGCACCTGAAAGATACTATTTCCACCTGCTCCCCTGGGGAAAAAACTCACTGAGGATGACAATAGCAGCAACAACAGTATGATACGCATTATATCCTTCACTGAGCTTTTCCTTCGTGCTGGCCTTCTGCTAAGCCCTGCTCAAACTATCGCATTTAAAAAAAGAAAAAAAAAGGGCCGGCCGAGTGGTGCGTTTGTTAAGAGCTGGCTTCGGACGCCAGAGGGCCCTGGTTCGGATCCCACATATGAGGGCCAGTGACACTGCCCTCTACAGCTAAGATGCTGAACAACAGCTCAACCTGGAGCTGGGCTGCCATGAGTCGCCAGCGACGGCGTAGGCTGCAGCCCCTGTGGCAGTGGGTTGCCATGGGCTACCGTGTGCAGCCAGCAGCCAGCATGAGCGGCCAGCAGCCACAGTGAGCGGCCGTCCAGAAGCAGGCAGACTGATCTGCCTCGCCCGGGAAGAGCGCAATGATGGTGCCAACTTGGGCCAGTGAAGCAACGTCCTCCACAACTAGACTGAAGAACAAGAGAATAGCAACTTGTCTGTTCCCCTTCCCCCAATTCCCCAGCGCTGTTCCCATCCCCCAATTCCCTAATAAAAAAATCTTTTAAAAAAATTATTTAATCCTTTGGAAGTATGTACTGCTTCATCTACATTAAGTGAGGTTCTTGAGAACAGAGCTCCGTCAGTTTGGGCCTTCCAAGAAGGTGAAGCTAAGACAGAATTAAATATGCAAGAGACTTATTAGGAAAAACACCTAAGAAGGATAAAAAGAAGGAAGGAGCAGGAGGAGGAAGGAAAGCCTCTGACCCTGATGCAGGTCTGACACCTATGGAGAGAGAGGGAAGGAAAAATTGGGTGGGAAGCACCCCAGGCTGCAGGGCCCTGGTACCCTCACTGAGGTCTCAGCATAAACGCTGCAGTGCCGTGAAGGGAGGTTGAAGCTAACTCCACCCCTCACAGGAGGTTCTCTCTTAAAGTTATTACTCTGAGCAGCTCAAACCCATGGCTGCCACAAAAGACTTGGTATTCCCCACTGATTCCCTAGCAACCAGAATAATGCCGAGCACATTGCACTCAATAAATATTTATTGAATCAATCAGTTATTCAAATTAATCCCCTTTGATACATAATAAGACTTAAATGCAGAGTGACTTGCCCAAGGTCACACAACTGGTAAGTAGCCCAGCCCAGCTTTGAGCCCTGGTTTTCTGACTCCAAAGCCCACACACTTAAGGCTACGTTCCTCTGTGCCCTGTCCTTTCCTGCTTCCCTCCGCATCCCTGCACTGAGCACCCAAACATTGCCCAGCTGTCATATCAGGATTTTTTTTCTTGTATTTTTTCAATCACTCATTTAGTCATTCATTCATTCAGCAGATTTTTTCCAGGTACTGCACAGGATACCTGGGTGACATAGACCAATGAAAAAGGTCCCTCCTTTTGAGATGCTCACAACCTGGGGCAGAGAGGCAGTCACATAACAAAGGATTAGTGCACAAAGTGACATGTTAAAATGGCAGGGCACTGCCCAGAGTTAGTCTCAGGGGCTGGATAGCCAAGCAGTGGGGCAGAAGTCCACATAGCCCTAACTAGCTTGTCACTGCCCAGCTCACCACTCTCCAGCCCCCAGCCAGGGTACCAAACTCCTGGAGGGAGTTTAAACCTCTGAATACACAGGCCAGCCAGTGGCAAGCCTGGTAACCATGGTTACACACAATTGAACTCAACAATGTGGAGGGAGATGGCCAGCCCTGGAAACCCACCACACAGCTAGCACCACACAACTTTTTAGGCAACTAAGTATAGGCTACATTTAAGGAAAATATTGAAAGAGGCCTTTAAAAGTCTATCACGTATTACTTGAAAGCCACTTAGGAACTCCTGTTAGAGGTCCTAAACAAAATATGTCAGTGATCAAAATGGCCAAGACCGAAAAAAAAAAAAATCACCTACACAGATGGGGTATGTTTACAAAATAGAAATATGTCCCAAACAGAGAAAACAGGAAAACCTCAGGGGCAGATGTGAAATCAGAGAATCAAAAAATTACTTAATCCTTGTCTAAACTGGAATTTTGTGGGACTGAATGTGCACGTTGACAAAACGGGATTTTTAAAAATCAAGTCACAGCACGATTGTGTTCACTGCATCACACATGCACACTTACTGAGGGGCGACTGACATGTTCCCTAAACTGTTACCAGTAGCGCCCTTTGGATGGTGGAATTTCAAGAGACTTGTAAGCTCTTCTTTACACTTGTCTGTGTATCTGGATATTTTAAAACAAGCATGTATCATTTATAAACTCAAGAAAAAAGTATAATAAAGTTATTTTTACTTTGAAAAATAAAATAATCAGAAAAACACCGGAATGATTCCAAAAGCGGTAGAGAGCAAGGAGATAGAAGAAAGAGGACTGTCCAGCAAAGCCTGTCTAAAAGATTTTTTGCTGAACATTTAACAAAGGAAGCAACTATCACTGAGAGCCAATTGTTAAATGAGACTCAGTGAGTAGATTTCAGGATCATCTCCAGAATGTCTTTAATGACTGTAATACTGTGTGCCTGGCACATAATAGGTGCTCAGCAAATATTTGTTGCATGAATCAATGAATGATGTTGGCAGAATACCAGTTCCACGTAGTTTTATTTTAATACATTTCAAATTCTGGTGAATGGTATTGGTTCACCTGATGAAACCACTAGATTTCATTTCCTTTTCTTTACAGGGTCAGTGGTAACTCCAAAATTCTTACTTAGATGGAGCTTAAAGGCAGCCGTCTAGCTGGGGATTCAGCTTGGGGGCTTGTTTTGAAGCTGTGTTGGCACAGTACCTTAAATAAGACTGAAATTATGCCAATAGTTCATATCAAAGGAAGCAGAGGCTAATGGAAATGATAGGGGACTACAGTTTCCTCGAGTGACTCCTTAGCTCTACCAAAGGACAAAGCTAGTCAGCTAGATCACAGGAATGTGGCGAACATTCATGACTTGGCGTCTCCACTCCAGCCCAATCCCACTGCCCATCAATCACGTACACCCCTGCCCCACTCTTTCAATGGATTTAGAAACCAGGATGCCTGAGCTTCTATAAGTGGCCCCCAGTGAGCCTCGCATCCTGGCATTCAAATCCTTGTATGTAGCCCCCTCCCACACTGACTCTGGGCTTGGCCATATGGCTTGCTTTGGCCATTAGTAGCAGAGCCAAATCAGGACCAGGTTTCCCTTTTCATCACAAAGAACAGGTATTAATAGAAATAAATAGGCATTTCCCAGAATAAAAATGAGTTAATATCAGAGTTGCCCCTGGATCAGAGCTGTGGATCATTTTTATAAAGAAGCAGAAAGGTAAGATGCCCAATCTAATGGCCCCTTTCCTAGCATTCACTCCCCCTACTTCCTGCCAACAGTATCCTTATTTCTTGTCCTCAGCCATGCAGTTTGGGTGGGTGGCCAACCTCTAGCTGCAGAGGTAGATCCTCAACAGTGTAAGCCAATTCATGTATCTGACCTTTGCCCACAGTGATTGGTTTAGGATTGGGTGTGCAACTCAATCAGGGCCAATGCCACTCAAGGAGATGTTTGCTAGTGCTTCTGAGAAGAGAAGCTTCTGCAGGAGTTATTGAAAGAGACACGTCTCTTCCCTAAGATGGTGCGATATAGTGTTATAAGGTCTGGAGCTGCTACAACCAGTTGGTAGCACAAGAAAAGAACTTGGAGCCACCATGTAGAACCTAAGAGTGGAAAATGAATGACAGGTAAGCAGAGGGATGGGTCAAACAGGGTCCTCAGGGACATCATTTGAGGGTTGGCTTAGGCCTTATCTGAAACTAGTGGGAACCCTGGAGTTTGGGGTTATAAGAGGTGATATGTTCCCTTGACTGTTTAAGCTGGTTGCATGGGTTTTCTGTTACTTCAAACCAAAATGTTCCTGAATAGTACAGTGACACTTCCAAGTTTATAAAGGACACCTGACCTTCCAGTTGGTTAATAGCTAATTGTGATAAACTCCAGGAAGATAACTGTGAAAAGGTGGGATATGCAGGAAAGAGGCCAATGACTGTCAATACGTATAAAATACAAGGTAATATATTTAAGGGGAAAAAATCCACTCTCATAAAATGTGAGCTATTAATGACAACTAGGGAAAGAAACCTTGACATTACTGGAAACCAAACTCCTTCTGCAAAGGTCAGCAAACTCCTTCTGCAAAGGATCAGCTAGGAAATATTTGAGCTTTACTAGCTACCCAGCCTGTCGAAACTGCTCAGCTCTGCCAGTCTAGTACAAAGACAGCCATGGGTATACAGAAATGAGTGGGTGTAGCTGCATGCAAATAAAACTTTTTTTGTAGACACTAAAATTTGAATTCCATATAATTTTCACATGTCACAAAATAATATTCTTTCTTTGTTTTGGGGGGGGGGTTTCTAACCATTTAACAATGTAAAACCCTTTTAAAAATTCTTAGCTTGCAGGCTATACAAAAATGGACCACAGGCTGGGTTTGGCCAAAACACCATAGTTTGATCACCCCTGCTATAAAGAGTTTTCTAAAGTTAATGATGCCGGGGCTAAGTGGGAGGTGTGGGGCTTGGGGTGGGAGAGCACCCAAGCACTGACATAACCTACCCTGCTGAAAGGCCAAGAATGTTTTCCATGTGTCAACTCCCTGACGTTGGGATTGAACAGAAAGTAACCATAGCATTCTCCTATTTCTAAAATAATTGACATGAGTGCGAATTCCTCCAATTACTAATGCATAGAGCTACTTCAGTTGGACCTGTCACTGGGAGTTGAGCAAATGTTATATTTTTTGGCTCAAAAAACTGAACACTCTAGTGGTAGACCTGGCCTCCAGCACAGAGCTCAAATGACATCATCGGGGCCGGATTTCTCTCTACTTCTCAGCTCTATCTTCAGCAGGGTTGGCTTCATTCATCCTTAGGCCCTTCAAAGGCCCCCAGCCTCTGCCTGCAGCTTCAGGCTTTCACCTCAGGGTGTCAGACTGGCTGCTGTGCTTCTAGCCCCGTCTTCTCACAGACTTAAGCACCAATGGGAGGAAGGCATCTACCTCTCTACTACCAATCCCTGAAAAGTCTTGGCTACATCATGTGCCCATCCCTAAACCAATCCCCCCTAAGAAAGGACTTGATTGGCCAGGTGGGGATCACGTATTCCAGGCCTGGCGCTGAGCATGGAGCCTCACAGAGATCACATGGCTGAGAGGAGAAAACACAAATCTGGACTGAAACCGGAAAAGGAATGGGTGCTGGAATAGCAAACAATAACCTCTTACGCCAAGTTGAGTTCCATAGCCTGGCCTTGAGTAACACAGCCAAAGAGATAAATAATAGTTCTCGATTGAAGGATGTTTCTATACCTTCTGCCACATTCTATAATATTCAGAAATAAATGGTGAAATCATATCTTTTGTGGTGAAATGAAAGTCAAAGTTGTACAAGATATAGTTAAACTATTAAAACATATGGGGTCCTAAAGGATGATAATGATTTTTCAATATAATTTGCTTTCAGGATTAAAAAAAAAGAAGAAGAATGTAATGCTGTTAACATACACCTTTAAAAGAACAGAAAAAACAGAATAAAATTAGGGAAGGGAAAACAGAGATGAATGTCTATTATCAAAACCCCATTTCAACAGGCTCCAAAGGCTGTCTGAATTCTGCTCTGGTAATGCAATATCGTTCTGTCAAATATTTCATGAAAGTGAGTCACTAGCTAGAGCCAAAAAACACAGGGTGTTTTTAGATGTAGCGATTTGTCCCACATGACTTTTTAAAAAACTGGCTTTTTTCATTGACCCAATATTTTGGTCCATCTGAAGGAAGCCATCAAATATATTTGCTTAGAAGTCAGCTACCCAAGCCATTTCTAAAATTATTAAAGTAACATTTGATTTAATAATTGTTCTGTCTCTTAACTACTCCCTGCTAAGCATCTTAAAGTGGGAGAGGAGGTTAGAGGAAGGTTTTTGTTTTGTTTTGTTTTGTTTTTAAAGCCTGAGAAACTGGGACTTCCCTACATTTCAAAGTACAAAGGCCTATTATTTCAGAAAAGAGCCAGGGAAGCAGAGCGATTCAATTTAGTAGGCCACCGTGTACTTCTCCCTTTCTCCTGCCAAATCTGGGCTCACCCCAGACCCAAGTGGCCAGCACACGGGGGCAGCCCTCTGTGAAAATGTGAAAGCAGTCGAGGAAAAAGAAAAAGCGGCCAGCCTGAAAGCCTGGGGAGCACTCATTATATTTGAATAGAGCCAGTGAAAGGGGCCTTTGCTGAGCGCCTGGGTGGGGCCGCCCCATTCACGCTCCCATTGTAAATTCCATCTGTGTGCTATCATTTCCTGACCCAGAAACCAGGAAATGTTTTGGCCATAAATTTCCCTAGGACCTTGCCTGGCCACAAAAATCATTCCCTCTGAAGTTCACCAGCTCCTTGAGATTTCGTAAAGGTTTAAGATCTCGTTAGCCTATGATCCCCTCCCCCACCTTGTTCTAAAGGGTCTCCTCCCCATCTGCCTTATTTCCTTCCAGGAACTGATCTTCAGTGAAGTGAACTAAAACTGGGATGGTTATGGGGAAAGAAACTCTGGGGGAAGTCAGAAGCTCTCCTGTCCTCGTAGAAGAAGCTCAAAATATCTGGCTGGCCCGAAGCTGATGCTAGTCTAGTGTCAAACGGTAACTTGACTGTGTTTGAGTAAGTCTGAGAAACAGGGTGTAAGGAGAGAAAAGAGAATGATGTAGAGCAGTGTCTCTCAAACTCTGGCATGCATCAGAAAGACCTGGAAAGGTTTCTGATTCAGTAATTCCGGGGTAGGGCCTGAGATGTGCCTTTCTCACAAATGCCCAGTGGCGCTGATGCTGCTGGTCCAGGGGCCATACAGCATGAGAACGCCCGATGTAGCGAGTGGCCATACCAGGCCTCAGACATCATGCAGGACATTAGATATATTCAAAGGCTCAGTAGCATCTGGATTCAGACGCTGTAAACACATTTTGGTGCCTACATACAGACACAGGCTAAATGCTTTCTACGATAGTGGTTATGGCTCTCAATCTACCACACAGTTATATACAAAATAACATTTTTATAATTCAACTTCATTTTCAGCCCCAATTAGACCAGAGCAGCAAAAATGTAAACCCAGTTAATTTGAAGCCTTCCTCCCGCTTTCAGGGAATACATCTAGGTTCTGGGTATTTATGGAGAATCATGGCGGGGGGCAGGTGGTTTACATTCTGGTCCTTGCTGTCATCTGTCCATGTGGCTGTCAACCATCACCTTGTCTGGCCCATAGGCTTCAATCCTCACTGATCATTAGATATGTCTCTCACCCCCAGACTGCATGAATCCTTCCAGCCGGCACCATTTCTGGGTCACACTTAGAAACCCAGAATCTGCCAACCATGTCCTCTCTGTCCCAGGGCTCTACCCAGAAAGCAGGACACAGGGTCCCTCTCTCTGGGACTTACTGTATCTCTACTTTCATCACACCCCCTTTGTCTCTCCTCCTTCCCACCCCGCCCCTCTTCTCTGCCCAGAAGAATCTTTGCCAGTCTGAGGGAGGATCTCTCTCTCTCTCTTCAAACCGCTTGCTCTCACTCATTCTGGCCATGTCCAGGACTCTCAATGTCGCCCCAAGGGCTTTAGGCTTTTGAAAACCAAAGCCAGAAAGATTCCTATTTGTTTTTCCTGCTCTGACATTTCGTTCCCTGACTTAGTGAGCATAGAATGGCCCAGCTACCTGAACGGGGAAAACTACACAAAGGGAAGATGCTTAGAAGGGAGAAAAAAATAAATTAATCTTTTTTTTTTTTTTAAGATTTTATTGGGGAATCGGGGAAGGGGTACAGACAGGTAGACAAATTGCTGTTTTGTTCTTCAGTCTAGTTGTGGAGGACGTCGCTTCACTGGCCCATGTTGGTATTATCATTGTGCTCTTCCCAGGTGAGGCAATCAGTCGCCAGTGTCATTGGTTGGCCGCTCACACTGGCTGCCAGCCACTCACATAGCTCACAGCAGCCCACTGCAGCCCCGCTGCAGCCTACGCTGTCGCCGGTGACTCACAGCAGCCCAGCTCCAGGTTGAGCTGTTGTTCACCATCTTAGCTGTGGAGGGCGCAGCGTCACTGGCCCTCAGTGTGGGATCCGAACCTCGGCCCTGCTGCTCAGAGCTGGCACTCCCAAGCGAGCTCCTAACCAACTGAGCCACTCGGCCGGCCCATAAATTAATCTTTAAAAAACACACATATTAGCACTTTAGAATCATTATCTATTATCTTGTCATATCTACATTCTCCTATTTAATCTTCAAGGCAATCCCGCGAGGTAGATATTATTCTTCCCATTTTACAGAGGAGAAAATCGGGGCTCAGGGAGATGAAAAATCCTTGCCTAAAGTCATATGTGCCAGGTTTTGAACGCAGGGCTTCTGGATCTGAATCCAAGGCTGAATCCACTGTACCTCAGCCTGTTCTCCAAAAAAAAAGAAGGAGAAAAGGAGGCCTGTCAATGAGAAGGCATAGCCCAGAATACTGATCAGCGGATGTGTGTTAGGAAATTACTTGGCCCAAGAGATACTATTAAGCCAAGACGTGGGTAATAATTAGACAGAGTAATAAAATAATCCAAGAGATAGGATGCAGGGGAAGCGAGGGGTTAACAGGTTTGCAAACACCAGAGACTAAGGAGCCAAGATGCCCAAAGTCAAGGCCACAGTTCAAAAAGTAATCATTTCCTGACTATGAGAGACAGGTTAGGAGTCCAGAAAATTAAGACCATAGCCAAAGTGTTCTGTCCCTCAAATGCTGAGCAGACTAGGAATCAGGAACGCAGGGAGTCTTGGGAGTAAGCAAGACATCAGCAGTCAGGAGCTAGATCTTAGACTATGAAAGGGTGTTTTTGCCTTTAAGTTGTCCTGGGAGCCTCAGAGCCCACAAGTTCAGGGGAAACATGATTGTGAGAGTGAAGACACAGCCGAATGGAAAGCCAGGACAAGAACGGCAGAGCAGAGATTAGAGGATATCCTCAGGGCCAAAGGCATGTCATTATGCACAGAGAACATCTGTCGTCTTTGTCCAGCATGCTGTCCTCTGATAACAAAGTCCATCTCATCATTTTGAGGAACAAATTCCCCCAACATCTGTTCATGGATTCAAGAGGGACTGACTATCTACTGGCCAGGCCACAATTCCTTGTCACAGTGATGGGCTCAGGGGTGAGTCCATGACCCAGCAAAGGCCAATCAGCATTGCTATGCCCTGACTGTTTGTGTAACCACCAAATCTATATGCTAAAATCCTAACCCCCATAGATGGTATTAGCAGGTGGGACCTGTAGGAGGTGCTTAGATCATGAGGACGGAGCCTTGGTAAATGGGATTACTGTTTTTGTAAAAGAGACCACACAGAGCTCACTCGCCCCTCCCACCATGTGAAGACACAGCAAGAAGATGCCATTTATGAACCAGGAAGCGAGCCCTCACCAGTTACCACACCAAACCTGCCAGCACCATGATCTTGGACTTCCAGCTACCAGGACTGTAAAAAATAAATTTCTGTTGTTTATAAGCTACCCAGTCTGTGGTATTTTGTTATAGCAGCCCAACTATAGAATAACACAAGCATCAACCTTGGCACTTTTTTGGAGAAAAGAGGCAACTTGGACTACTGGGTTTGCTAAGCCAGTAGAATGTAAGCTTGGAGCCAGTGCTGTCCCTCTGGACTGCCTCCTGGGGAAGGCTTGCCTGAGACTAAAGCCAGCAGAACAGGAAGTAGGGCTAAAATACAGAGGCAGATCAAAAGAGAAAGAAACTGTATTCTAAGAACATTCTTTGAGGCCCGGGATCCTACCAGGACAAATTCATCCCCTTGATCTTCTCAGTTACATGAACCAATAAATTCCCTGTTTCAGTTATCTGTCACTTTCTGAAAGAGTCCTTGCTAATTTACTGTGCATATAAATTTGCACTGAATAATTAAAATATGGACAAAGCACTAACGGCACAACACTATTTTGTAGAATGACACACAAAGACTAAGCCCTAAATATAATTCCCCTCAGCCATTTCTGTCAGAGGTCTTATCTCTGGGTCTTGCCAAATCTCTCACTGACTAAGGAAAGTTGTTTGTAACACCCAACTAAGGGCCTAGAAGTTAGATTTCCAAGGTAATTCACTCCAACCAGTGACTATTTGCTGTGGGTGTGCTGGATAGAAGCCTCTGAACAATGTTAGATCCCAACACTACCAACAAAGAAACTTAATTACAGGCAGGCCGAGTGGCACGCTGGTTAAGAGTTGGTTTGGGAGCGCCAGCTCTGAGCAGCAGGGCCCCAGTTCGGATCCCACATGGGCCAGTGATGCTGCATCCTCTACAGATAAGATGGTGAACAACAGCTCAACCTGGAGCTGGGCTGCAGTGAGTCGCTGGCGACGGTGTAGGCTGCAGTGGGGCTGCAGTGGGCTGCCGTGAGCCGCCATGAGCGGCAATCCAATAACCGTAGAGCCAGTGCCTTAGCCAGGAAGAGCGCTATGATCACAATACCAACATGGGCCAGTGAAGCGACATTCTCCACAACTAGACTGAAGAACAAAACAACAGCAACTTGTCTGTTCCCCTTCCCTGATTCCCCAATGCTGTTCCCCTCCCCCCAATTCCCCAATAAAATTAAAAAAAAAAAACTTAATTACAACCTGTAATTATTCACAGTGCTATGTGAGGCCCACACAAAGAGTGTTGCACAGACACCATCTATGTCCAATATGTGCTTAAATCCGGTGGCTTGAAAATATGTCCTCAAATTATTTGACACTTCTCCCTTTAAAAAGTGGAGTATAATTTACTACCCCTTGAAACTGGGCCAAATTCAGTGACTCATTTCTAAGAAACAGAATGTGGTTGAAGGGGTGCTTTGTAATGGTGTGTACTCTCTCGATTCTAGCCTTTAGAACCGAGGCACCACATTTTGAGGAAGCCCAGGTTCCAGAGAGAGCACACATGAGGATATTCAGACAACAGCCCCAGGAAGGCCTTCAGCCAACAACCAGAATTAACCACTAGACAAGTGAGTGAACAAGCCTTCAGATGACTTCAGCCCAGTCTTCAAGCCTTTCAACTGATATGCCCCGAGGCATGCGGGAGCAAGGACCTCTGTTCTGCTGACTTCTGCCTGAATTCTGGACCCAAAACAACTGTGAGAGCTCATAAATGATTTTTGCCATTTTTAAGCCACTATGTTTTGGGGTAGTTTGTGACACAACAATAGATAATACAAAGTCCAAGAACAAAATCGCAAATGGTTATTAGCTCAAATGCTAATGCTAGCCAACTGATAGTTGTCTGGATAAAGTTGCATCAGGCTGAGCAAGAAAGAGAAGATGGAATTAAATCAGAGATGTCTGCCATGGGCGTGAAAGTGGGAAGTGACGGCACTTGTGGTTTTTATTTGCCAATCCTGGGCTAAGACAACTGACTACACATCCAGAAAAAAAATTGTTCAAAGAGGAAAAGGGAGAAAAAGGCAGGCAGAGCGGGGAGCAGAAAAAGCACTGGACTTGAGGAAGGACATAAGGGTTCAAATTTCAGCTACTTACTTGCTGTGGGAACATAAGCACATTGTTTAACCTCTCTGGGCTTCAGTTTCCTCATCTGCAAAATCACAGAATTGTTGTGGGCTAAATAAAATAAAACCATGATACAAATGTCTGGCAGTAGGTCCTCAACAAATGGGAGTATGGTGGGAGTTCTGGCTCAGCCTAAGTAAACTTTGGGTATGGGGGATGAATTTGAGGTTGATTTCACTTTGAAAAGCAGCATTAAATCATATAATTCAAGGTCTTACTAAAGTTTTAGTTTTCAAAGTACATTCTGTGACATACTAGGCATGTAGGATGTTAAAAGTATGTTCTGTACAATACTGGTTATTTGGGAATCTTAGCAGGTGTTATACAGATAACAAGAGTTTACTTACATACCATTACCAAATGACCCAACAATCCCAATTCCTGGGTATTCACCTCGGAGAAGTTAAAATTTGTGTTCACAAAAAAAATCTGTACATGAATGTTTATAGCAGCTCTATTCATAATCACCAAGGACTGGAAACAACCCAAATATCCTTCAACAGGATAAACAAACTGTGGTACATCCATACCATGGAACACTACTCCACAATAACAAAGGCCTAATTATTGATACATGCAGCAACACATGGATGAGTCTCAAAGGTATTACCCTAGTGAAAGAAGCCAGTCTCAAAGGCTATATAGTATGTAATTCCATTCAGATGACATTCTCATAAAAAAGAAAACTATTGGTGGAGAAAAGTGGTTGCCAGGGGTTGGGGGGGGTTGGGGGATTTGGGGATGTGACTATAAAGGGATAGTACAAGGGAGTTTTGGGGTGTGATGAAATTGTTCTGTATCTTGATTGTGGTGGTGGTTATATGACCCTACAAATGTGTGAAATTTCATAAAATTTTTACCAAAAACAGTTAATTTTACTGTGTATTATTTTTCAAAATACAATGAACAGAAAAATTTATTTACATTTGGGAAATTTTGGGTTAAAGTGAAATAGGGTACTTTACAACAGGGCTTCTCAGAGCATTTAACATGCTTTAATCACATATTTAACTTAGTATGTATTCATTAATTTAATATTTATTTAATCACAAATGAGTATCTGTGATTCTCAAAGATTGGAAGAGAATATACAGCATTTCCCTATCTTATTTGACCAAGGAACCTTCCTTTCTCAGAGCATCTTGGGAGCCTGCTGTTTCCTAGATTCACTCTGGGAAACTCAGATGTGGTAACAGGTATGAGCTGGTGCCTTGATATCTGGGATCAAATGTCAGGTTGTGAGTCAGGTACAGTAATTCCCCCTTATCCATGGTGGATACGTTCCTAGGCCCCTAGTGGGTGCCTGAAACCATAGATAATACGAAGCCCTATATATATAGTTTTTATATATATATA